CTCTCTCTCTCTCTCTCTCTCTCTCTCTCTCTGTCCCAGGCACCTGTGACCACCAGGGCCCCTCTCAATTCAAGGCTCCCCACCCTCATCTCCAACTCTGGAGTCACCCTCAGGAGTCCCAGGACCCTGAGCTGCCAATCAAATCAGAGGCAGTATAGCTTAGTGGTTAATATCCCACACCTTGGAGTCAGACATCTTGGTTTATTTTATTTTATTTTTTAATTTTTAATTTTTTTTGTACTAGTTTCAGGTGTACAAAACAACATAATGATTAGACATTTACACCCCTCACAAAGTGATAACCCCCCTCCCAGTCTACTAGCCTTCTGACATCTTATTGGGTTGTCGGAAAAGTCATGACGTATTTTTTTCTATGTTTTTCGTTGCAAAAATGCATCATGACTTTTCCGACAACCCAATATATAGCTGTTACAATGTATATACAGAAGGTGCCAAAAAAATGTGTACACATTTTAAGAAAGGGGAAAAAACTATTAAAATTACACTGACAGTAACCACTTTGAGCACCTCTTGTAACTGTAGAAGTCAAACGTGACTTGTATTCATCTTTTGTTATCAATATATATTGAATATTAGAATTTTAATACAGTCTTTTCCTTTCTTAAATGTGTATACAGGCCTTTTGAACTCCTTTTTTTGCTCAGCCTGCTCCAAACTCTTTGGAGTGTACTTTCTCTTCTAATAATGGGCCCTTGGGCCAATGCTTTCTGCTTGGGTCCGCTTCTATTTCTTTGAAGTGTACTTTTTCTCCTAATAAACTGCTCTTTCACCACTTAAAAAAAATGTGTATACATTTTTTGGTACCATCTGTATGAGTATGTTGTGTGTATATATATATATATATATATATATTATATATATATTATATATATTATATATATAATATATATGTATATAATTATAATTAACATTCAATATTATTCTACTTCAGCTTCAGGTGTACAGCACAGTGGTCAGGCATCTACACAATCTATGAAGTGATCCCCCTGATAAGTCTAGTACCCATCTGGCACCCCACATAATCTATACAACATCATTGATTATATTTCTCATACTGTATTTCACATCCCGTGACTATTTTGTGACTACCAATTTGTGCTTTCTAATCCCTTCACCTTTCTCCCCCATCCCCCAACCCTCCTCCCATCTAGCAACCATCAGTTTGTTCTGTGTATCAATGAGTCTATTTCTGTTTTTGTTTGCTCGTTTATTCTGTTCTTTAGATTCCACGTATAAGTGAGATCATATGGTATTTGTCTTTCTCACTCTGACTTATTTCATGTAGCATAATATTCTCTAGGTCCATCCATGTTGTTGCAAATGATAAAATTTCATTCTTTTTTATGGCAGAGTAATACTGCATTGTATAACTGTACCACAATTTCTTTATCCAATTGTCTATTGATGGGCACTCCGTATCTTGGCTATTGTGAACAGTGCTGCAGTAAACGTAGGAGTGCATATATTTTTTCGAATTAGTGTTTTGGATTTCTTTGGATAAATATCCAGGAGTGGAATTGCTGTTATAAGGTAGTTATATTTTTAATTTTTTGAGGAACCTCCATATTGTTTTCTATAGGGGCTACCCCAATCTGCAGTCCCACCAACAGTGCACCAGGGTACCCTTTCTCCACATCCTCGCCAACACTTGTTTGTTGATTTATTGATGATGGCCATTCTGACAGGAGTAGGATGGTATCTAATTGTGTTTTTATTTGCATTTCTCTGATGATCAGTGATGTTGAGCATCTTTTCAAATGCCTGTTGGCCATCTGTATGTCCTCTTTAGAGAAATGTCTCTTCATGTCCTCTGCCCATTTTTTAATGTTGTTTAGGTTTTTGGTGTTGAGTTGTATGAGTTTTTTTATGAAGTTTGGATATTAACCTTTTATCAGATGTATCAATGGCAAATATCTTTGCCCGTTCAATAGGCAGACATCCTGGATTTAAATCCTAGCCCTACAACTTACATTCTGTGTGCCCTAGGCCAAGGTATTTCACCTCTTTGCACCTCGATTTGCCTGTCTGTAAAATGGGGATAATACTACCTATCACTTAACCTGAGTAAAGGATTAAATGAGTTCATATATTTTACACCTAAAGCAGCATCTGACATACAGTAAGGGCTAGACATGTGTGCACTGCATGTATTATTCGGCCTCCAGCCCCTATTACCAACTTTGCTTTACCTCTCTGGCGTCAGAGCCCTCAGCTGCTGTTTTAATACCAGCCACCACAGCTGGCATAAGACAGCTTGAAATTTTTTGTAAAGAAAGATTTATGGGTCACATTCTGGAAGGATCCAACTAATGGTTTATCTTGAAGCCACATTTGCATAGCAAGTGCAGTGAATTTACTCAGATTGGAAGTTACATCAGTCAGTGGTGACTCCCAGCTGTAACAAACATTCCCAAGATGTCACTGGCTAAACACAATACACATCTAAGGGCTTCTTCATGTCACAGTCCAAGGTGGTTGAGGAGTGGGATGTAGAGCTCCAGAAATCAGTCAGGACCCAAGCCCTTTCCATCTTGTGGCTCTGCCTTCCCTGGGAATCTGGGGACATCAACTGACAGGTGACAGAACCTGTAGGATTTTGCAGGAGAGTTTTATAGGCCAGGTGTGGACACTCCCCATTGCACTTCTGCCCTCATCCCATTGGCCAGGTCTTATCACATGGTGGCTCTAAGCTGCAAGGGAGCCTGGGCAATGTAGTCCAGAGGTGTGTCCATGAGAAGAGGGGAAATAATGGTTTTATTCAAAACTATGCAGTCTCTGGGGTGGCTTTTCTTGGGTGGGGGCGGGTGGGGGTGGTTAGTCACCATTAACTACTGACCTGGGCTCATGCCTAAACCTCCCCCCCTCCTATACTCCATCCCCAGACGGCAGAGGCTCTTCTTCAGCAAGATGGTGACTTCTTGGTTCGTGCGTCTGGGTCTGGTGGGGGCCACCCTGTGATCTCCTGCCGCTGGCAGGGCTCAGTCTTACACTTCCAGGTGCTTCGTGTGGCCCTGCGTCCCCGGCCAGGCCGGCCCATAGCCCTCTTTCAGCTAGAGGATGAGCGTTTCCCAAGCCTGCCTGCCCTGGTTCATAGCTACGTGACCGGCCAGCGTCCACTGACCCAAGCCACAGGGGCTGTGGCCTCCAGGCCAGTGACGCAGCAAGGGCCTATTCGACGCAGCTTTAGTGAGGACACTCTCCTAGACAGCCCAGTTCAGACAAAGCTGCTCAGGTAGGTACTCACAGACTCCCTACTTCCAGGTGACACCCAACACCCCTGGGGTTCTCCACCTAGGCACTATTGACACTTAGGGCCAGATCATTCTTAGTTGTGGGGGCTGTCCTCTGCGTTGTACAGTGTTGAGCAGCACACCTGCTTCTATCTATGAGATGCAGTAGAATCCTCCCCACCCCACTCCCAAGTTGTAACAAACAAAAAATGTTTCCTGACCTTGCTGAGTGTCCCCTTGGGGTACAGCACCCTGGTTGAGATGCAATGGTCCTGAATGACTGGGGGTAGGGTTTTCAGGGCATTGGTCGGGGCTGCCCTGTTCAGGCTGGGACTATACATCTCCCCCATCTCTGCCCCCCAGGGCTAGAAAGTGGAGTGACAGTCAGCCGGCAGGTTTGGAGCATGTGGGGCAGTCAAGAGAACGCAACTCTGGACCAGGTGAGGGTCTGCCAGGACAGCACATAGCTGAGAGAGTGCTCTGCCTCTCACTCCCTGAGTAATCTTGGGCAGGTAACTTAACCTCTTGGAAAATGGGGATGATGATGCTCTCAAAGTTGTCACGGGGGTTAAAAAACACCTAGGAACTTTGTAGGTGCTTAAAATATGGGTTTACAATTATTCCAAGACACCCTACATGGCTGACCTCTATAATAACTACTGCCACATCCCTCCTTTCTCCAGTCACATAGTCTCCCTTTCAGTTGCAAGGACCTTTCAAATTTGTTCCTAACTCAGGGCTTTTGCACTTGCTGTTCTTGCCTTTGGAAAGCCCATCCCCCTAATCTTTTCCTGACGCCTTCTCTGTTAGCATGAGTTCCTCAAAGTAGCTGACTCTGATCATCCTACATAACGGAGGTCTACACCTCCCTCAAGCCCAGTCAGCTTCATCTGCCTTGTCCACTCCCCACCCCCACTCCATTCAACATGAACCCTCCTTGTGTGCCAGGGACTGTACTAAGTGCCGAGGTACATCAGTTATCAAGAAAGATAAATATCCCTGCATGAGTGGAGCGCGCATCCTGTTAGAGGGAGATGGACCAAGGGGTAAAAATTAAAAGTACAACAGAGTAAGGGAGATTTCAAGTAATTGTCAGGAAATGCCTTATGAAGAAAGATTTTAAGGAGGTAAGGAAGGGGAAGACGTGGCTAATGGGGTGAGAGTGGCCCAGGCAGAAGGAACAGCCAGTGCAAAGGTCCTGAGGCCAGAACAAGAGATTGAACTATTCATTCAAACAAAAGGAGATGAGTGTAGCTGAAGCAGCTGGAGTGAGGGAAAATTCAGAGAGAGATCTGGAGTTCAGATTGCAAGGTCTTTTTTGGCTACTGTGAAGGCTTTGGCCCTTACTCAGAGTTAGCTGGAAACCATGGGAAGGTGTTAAGCCCCTATAACAGGTTTATTTAAATGGTTCATAAATACAGAATCTCCCAAAAGTCTGGGTGCAGTATTAAGTTCTAATATACTCAGAAGTAAACATGCCACAACTTTAACAAAAGACATCATTTGAAGGTTTGATAAATTCTGTTGTTTTGATGTTTATGTATTTTGTGAATTCTGGTTTATATATATCTATATATATGTGTATATATATGTGTGTGTGTGTATATATATATATATATAAAAGATGAATATAAGTCAAGTATATACATTTTTTTGGCACTTCCAATGTGTGTGTGTGTGTGTGTGTGTGTGTGTGTATTATATATATATATATATATATATATATATATATATATATATATATATATATATTTTATATATATATATAATATATATATATGCACACATACTGAGGGTACCAAAAAAATTTATATAAGTGGACACTTTGGTTAGCATTGCTCAAGCAGTAGTTCACTGTACTCAGAAGTATCTGGACATTGATGGTAACCATTTTGAGCACCTCTTGTAATTATAGAAGTCAAACGTGACTTGTATTCATCTTTTGTTATCAGTAAACATTGAGTATTACAATTTTAATAGGTTTTTCCTGTCTTTAAATGTGTATACATTTTTTTTTGGCATCCTCTGAATATGTGTATTTTGTACTATCAGTGCTTTACCATATTCATTCAGAGGAACAAAACAAACATTTAAAATGTGGTATTCAGAATTCGCAAAACTACCTAAGTGTCAGAGAAAGTTCACTTTCAAACCATTGGTAAGTGTGTAATATTTTTACTGTGAAAATTATTAAAGTTCAAAGCCACACCAAGATAGGTAGGGATACCCCAGTATTGGCTGAATGAGTGGATGAACCAGGACCCACCCAACTATCTTCTCTATGAACCTCCTGCACCTCCTCCTGTATGACCCCCTAGGAGCCTCCGCTGTGCCCACGTTTGCCCTGTCTCGGATGGGTAGTGACCCTGTGTTGCTGAAGACCCTGGTTCCCCTGGCGTCCATTGCTGACAGCCTCAGGGCCTCGGATGGGCAGCTTCATGCCAAAGCACCAACCAAGCCACCTCGAACACCCTCACTGGTGCTGCCTAATGCCTCTGGACACCCCCCAACATACTGTGAGCTGGTGCCCCGAGTGCCCAGTGCCCGGGGAACACCCTCTGGCCACAGTTGCCCAGAGCCAGAGGCCCTATGGTGGGAGGCCCAGGAGGAGGAGGAGGAGAAGGACAGATGTTTTGTGAGACCACAGGCAGAGGTCTCTTTCTGCCCCCCTGACAACCCCTCTGGCCTGCTGGGCCTCCAGAATCGGCCCCTGGAACCCAAAGTCCTGCGTACTCTCCGTGGCCTGTTACTGGAGCACCATCCTGGGAGCACCGCCCTCCACCTGCTATTGGCAGACTGTCAGGTGAGTCACCTACCAGGTCCCTCTCCACAGGCGGGGGCAAGGCCCACCCTCACCTCACACCCTCATACCAGTATACTCATTCTGTTCACTTGTCCTCCCTACTCCAACCCCCCCACACACACCCCCCTCAACTCCCATCTACAGGCCGCCGGCTTACTGGGAGTGACCAAGGCTCAGCAGGATGCCATGGGGGTTGCCTCTGGCCTGGAGCTGCTCACACTTCCCCATGGCCATCGCTTGAGGTCAGAACTGCTGGAGAGGTGAGTGAGCCACCTGGAATCCCCAAGACCTCCAAAACTTCCTCATTCACGGCCCCTCAGGGAGGAGGGTGGGCAATGCCACCTCCTGTCTCTCCTCACACCGAAATACAAACCTCCCCACTGTCCCCGACCCTTGCCCTCCGCCTCCACAGGCACGAGGCGCTGGTGCTGTCGGGGGCGCTGGCAGTGCTGGGCTGCACCGGGCCGCTGGAGGAGCGCGCGGCCGCCCTGAGGGGCTTGGTGGAGCTGGCACTGGCGCTGCGGCCAGGGGCGGCGGGAGACCTGCCCGGACTGGCCGCAGTCATGGGTGCCCTGCTCATGCCCCAGGTGCATGGGGAGCAGGGATGGGAAGGAAGCCCAAGCGCAGTTGCTGGGGAAGAGGGAAGAGGAGGCATGCTCATGGTTCTTACCCCAGGTATCCCGGCTGGAACGCACATGGCGCCAGCTCCGAAGGAGCCACACTGAGGCCGCGCTGGCTTTCGAGCAGGAGCTGAAGCCGCTGATGCGAGCGCTGGATGAGGGCGCCGGTGAGTGATATCATTTGGAGACCCGCACCAACTCTAAACCAGAATCCTAACCCAATTCTAAGCCAAGTGCCTGCTTCTGTATGTCCCACCCCTTCGCGATAGGCCCCGCCCTCCATACTAGGCTGGGTCTTGGACCCAACCCCTAAGCCCCACCCTCTAGGCTCCGCCCCTGCCCTAGGCCACGCCTTTGACTCAGTCCCTCTCTGTGCTAAGCTCCAGACCTTGTGTCTGACCCCAAGCCCTGCTGCCGGTTACTTCTCTCCTTGGGTGTTTGGCCCAATGTCCCATCCTCTTCACCTTAGGACCCGCCCCCTGTCCCAAGCCCATTCCAGACCCTTCTCCCCACAGGACCCTGCGACCCAGGCGAGGTGGCACTGCCTCACATGGCACCGGCAGTGCGTCTGCTGGAGGGCGAAGAACTCCCGGGCCCCCTGGACGAGAGCTGCGAGCAGCTGCTGCGCACCTTGCAGGGGGCGCGTCTGATGGCCCGGGATGCGCCCAAATTCCGTGAGGCGGCGGCAGGGCGCCTGCGAGGTGAGCACTCCCTCTGCGCTGGGCTGCTAAAGGGTCTCAACTTCAGTAGCACCCCTCATGTTCTAACCAGGTGCCCCCAAACCAACCGGGCCAGGGACCAGAGCATCCTGCCACACCTCCCAGAGTCCTACCCAAACTGGGACGTCTTCCCCCAGAGGCCCCAAGCCTGTGCCACAACCAGCAGTGGTGACAGGTTCAATGCCCTCCACCCCAAAAGGGGCTGCCCTGTCCCCCCAGTCACGCCCACAGGGTCACACTCCCACCCTCCAACATGGCCTAACCTCCCCTCAAGTTTGTCGCTGTGTGGCCCGGACCCTAAATGTTGTCCCTGGGCTGGCTCCATCTCTAGGCACAGCCCCTAAGGTGGGGCTCCTAGCAGCTCGAACTAGAACACAGCACCCCCATGCACCCTGCCCGAGCCTACCTCCACACCTGCAGAGGCCCAGCAGCCCCCCTCCCCGCCAACCCTGCCCAGTTGTCCTGAATACTTGGGGCAGAGTCCCTCCCAGCCCCTGCTGGGTCAAAGTCCCCAGGGGTGAAGGCAGATGTAGGGTGGGGCGAGGCAGGCTCCTGGGCCCCGCCCCTAGTGCACCTGGCCCCACCCCCAGGATTTCGGCCAAACCGGGAACTGAGGGAGGCCCTGACCACTGGCTTTATGCGGAGGCTGCTCTGGGGAAGCCGGGGCGAGGGATCCTCGCGAGCCGCACGTGTCGAGAAGTTCCAGCGCGTCCTCAACGTCCTGTCTCAGCGCCTGGAGCCTGACAGCTAAAAGAGCAGACACTGGGACACCCAGGCTTCTGGGGACCCCAGCAGGAGACCAAGGAAGTCATCCCGGATTGCTCACACAAACAGGGCGGGGACCCGCACCCTGATTCATAGAAGGGAGGGGGGCCAGATTTGCAAGAACCCACTCTGCCCCCTAAAAACATACAGGGATCTTGGGGTGAAGGGCAGCCTCCTCCCCCACACTAGAAGACCTAGGTGTCTGGAGGCCCTGGCTGCCCTCTCCCACCCTCCGCCCCTACACATATCCCAAAAATGGTGAACAGGTAGCTTCTAATAGTAGAGAACTTGTAGATCTGTAAGAGGCCAGAGTTCAAATGCCTTTTAAAACCTGACTTCTAAGGGCCGGCTGAGTGGCTCAGTTGGAAGGGTTTGAGCTCTGAGCAACAGCGGTTCGCATCCAGCCCGAGCTGAGCAGCAGCTGAGCTGCCAACAGGTAGCAGGATGGCTCAGCTAAAAAAAAAAAAAAAAACAAAAAAAAAAAAAAAAAAAAACCAACCCCTGACTTCTAGCAGATCAGCTGCCCCGTGTGCCTGCCTTCAACATAAAAGTAAGACTGTATTTTCTAGGGGTTATTGTGGAAATTAAAGCTAAATGTTTAAATGAGATAGATCGTGGATGGAGACTGCCTGGCATACAGTAGGTGCTCAATAAATGCTATCTGTTCTCAGTAAGTCACCATGAACACAGAAGAGATGATGATGTTTGGCGCCCTTCTCCCTACACTGGTCATAGACAAGGACCCAACACCCAATTCTCAGGGAGGGACAGGGTGTGTCCAAGTTCACCTCCCCTTCCTCATTCCCTGTGTGGTCTGTAAGGAGAGAGGCATCTTAATATCCAGCCCCAGTATCTAAATCTAATAAAGCATGGACTTCAAGAACTTTACATAATTTTTTTATATATATATATATAAAACAAACGGCCCTAGCCAAGTGGTAGGAAGAAAAGATCTGAAACATGAGTATGTACATCAATGGTGGAAGGCACAGCGGGTCCAGTTGGGGTGAGGAGTGGGGGGTGGAGGGGCAGCAGATACACAGGTCTCAGCTGAAGCCACGGGGGCAGAGATAAAGTGCGTAGGTCCCGGGACCCCGTGGCCCAGAAGCAGCAGCCAGACAGCCCCCCCTCTTCCCGCCTCTGGCAGGGTTCAGTTGAGCGTGACTCGGAGGTACGAAGTGGGCACGTAGCCTTCACCTCCCTGTTTCCGCCTGACCCGAGTCCAGCCATCGCCTTTGTCCTCTTCCATGAGACTCAAGTCTTCACCCTCAGCCATGGAGATGGTGCCCTCGCTGGACCCTGTCATGAGGGTGGCGATCAGCTCAGGTCTGCTTTAGGCAAATTTATACAGAACCTAGCCAGACGCCCCCAACCCCTGCCCAAGCAACTGATACTCACCTTCAAAGTGGTAGATGGCCACACAGTGACCTATAGGTGATGCAGGCTCTTCCTCAAAATCCTCATCGAACTCTGTATAGATGGGGGTGTCTTGGCCTTCTTCCAAGGGGGGCTCTTCAGAGCTGATTGGGAAGAGCAAAGCAAATGAAGACAGGCCTCCCACGTCCCGGGAGGCAGACCCACTCTGGCCACCCCGCTCACCTCTCCTTATTATCCTGCGATCCGCTGTTGCTGCTGCTGCTGCTGTCTGGTGGGGCGCTGGCTGGGGGGTCTGGAGGCCGGGTGTGCCGGCTCAGGCTGTCACCCCGGTTGCTCAGGACCCGGCTCTCAGCTTCTGCCAGCCAAGCCTGAGAGGAGGGGACCACACGGTCAGTTCCAGGGTGGGGCTCTGGGATCAGGCCACTCTGGGATCG